GGTGGGGGGTGGGGGTGTTAAATAAAGACAGTATACAGAAACTGATAGATGAAGATAGAGTCTATCATCACTTTTACCTGTATTATCATGTAAGAGTTACACATGCGATTACAATATGGTGTATTCAGTTATCATAGAACTTTCATATCATATATATCAAATCATTAAATTTTAACTTTTGACAGTGAAACATCTTAGAACGTACAGCTTACATCATATCAGAACTTTATAGCGCTAATCCCAATGCCAGTTCCCCAACGCCTGCTAAGAATGCATCATTAAAGCTACTGCTGCTGGGTTTCTATCTCACATTATCAAAAGGGGACAAATACAATCACCAATTTGTCATGGCTTCAACTTTAAAGTTCTTGAGGCAGATTTTAACTTTAAACAATAAAATAAGTCATCAACATCTGGAATCGATAAAGGCAATTCCAATAGCTTTTATTAGTGGAATAGTTTGTTAACAGTTTCCTTCTTATTTCGTTATTTAAGTCTTTGCCATCAAAGTCCAAGAAAAGAAAAAATAAATCATTAGCAATAAGATTCAAGTGGCATTTCACTTGACTGTTTGTTTCTATTAGATAATAAAAAAAATGGACGGTTAACAGGATTACGAAATATGTTTGCCAACGATTATTTACTTTTAATTGAGAAAGTTTAATACGTATGTTAAAATCGAAAAGAATTGACAGCTAAATCCACCAGATTTACAACAGTATACGAAGTGTTACGTTGCCTCCTTCTACACATATTTGCTGTCGGTATCCACGAGTTTTTGACGTCATCTGATCAACAAATGACTGAAGTCAATTAATCAATCATCAGTTTCAACACGGACACGGTTACCGCAGAAGTCTGCATCCTACATATATGTTAACATAATAAATAAATTCTATTTCATAACTATTAGGTCTCAAAGGGTGGAAAAATGCACATGCAACTAAATATGATTAAAATTTAAATAGTGTTGTGGTTTACATAAGCTCGGTCAAGAAATTTAAAGAATATTGAGTTTATGTAAAAGTTTTGGTGACAATAACTTGAGTTATTACTAAGGAAAAAGAAAGTTGTAATGCCTTGACTGATGTAAGAGAGTGCACATAAATAAGAAATAAATGTATCATCTACAGAGGCCGATATAAAAATGCATACAACATTCATGTGATACAGACGGCAGCTTACAGTGAGAGGAGAAATGCTATTGACATGTATGTAGTGGTGCAGGTCACCTGTCGGTGTCAGCTCCTATACATTATCTGCAGATGTTACATACGTAAGTAGTGTGGGAGGAATGATCAAGGGGAAAACATACATACTAAACTGATTTGCTGTAAAGAGCTGAGAATGCATTATAAGACTTGTGTGACGAGCTTGTGATTCAGCCATGTCGCGAGCTTGGCCTAGTTACTGTCGTTGTTAACAGCCGACACCCTTTGTGCCTTACTAGATGTGGTTTTCGAGGTATCTCATGATTCGCGTAATGGTATGGGAATGCGATTCCATTGTGTAATGACAGCTTGCACAAGTGCATTCTCTTTGTAGCAACAGCCGCGCATGTTTACTATATAAATAAGGATGATTAACCATCTCAAGTAAACAAACGTATACCGTTACGCTTGACGGCCTTCGGTCTTTTTTTCTGATGTAGTAAAGAGCACGTGAACATTTCATATAAACACTCAAACGAGACACTATGGTAACAGACGAAGTGGGAGTTTTTCCTACGCTACAGTAATCTATATGGCTTGTCAGTACACCGAAACCTCGCACACTTAGGTCACTGTGCCCTTCGTATGTTATTTAAAATACCAGGAGACATTAACCTTCTCATTTCAATACGTGTGTTTTTCATTTGAAAGTCAAATAGAAAAACAAATATATCCCCTGATTCAGCATAAATTTATTGTTTATTTACATAACAAACACACCGAGCTCCTTCTTCATTTATTTAAAAAATAATAAGTCACAAAATCTATTCTTACGAATATTTCTGGATTTTAACGACACACGATGATAAAATAAAATGTAATGCGCAATTACTTTTCTTTCTGTTATAGAATGCACCTTATATGTAAAACAGATTACATGTCAAACTGTTATTGCCGATACATTATGTATCAATGGCGCGTAAACAACATGTGTGAAAATGGAGACAATTTACACTTATTACCTATTATATCTAACACCCATTTCCTCTTTTTTCTGATGCGACTGTTCCATAATACCTCACGCGTGTCATGTTACTTAATTGTTTTCTGTCTTTTCTTCCCCCTTTTTTTTGCAGGTATATGAAGACTATGGACAAGTGTTATGGCCGCCAGGATAATGTCATTGACAGATGCTATATGTTGTTGTGTGATATGAAGGTCGATGTTTTTATACCATGCTCATCAGTTGTCCTGTTGTGTCGTTTTCACTACCCCAGTTCTCACTGTAAGTATCTGAATTACTTGAATATGACCTAGATGTATACGGCAGTTGTCGTCGATGAAGCATAAGACGCTTACGCTTGCGGAACTTATGGTCTTATTTTACTTGACCTTTATCAAGGGTCTACGTGTAAACCATTCATTTGTTCATATTTTGCCCTAGTTTGATCGATTTTAAGTTTGAAGTACGATTTTATTATCATAATTTTTTTTCATAATCAAACCAGAATACCATCTATAAGTGTAAAGTATTATGATAAAGACAGAACAAGAAAAAGCTGAGATATGAACATGCTGTAGGCATGGTGTGTATTGGAGTGTGTTATGATGAATGGGGGCTCCATATATAGTATTTCTAAAACGCAGTAACTCTGACATCGTTTACCACTCTGCCTGAACGGGACCAGAATGTCTGGTGAGTATCTGGTTAATCGGATCCCCTGGAGGGATAGAAATCCTGACCGGATTATGTAACTATCAAGTGCATCATTACTGCTACTGTTACATAGTCTGTGGTTCACTTGTACGTACAGACGGTTGTATTACACACAAGTTATAACACATTTGGCCTCGGTAACAAATATTTCCCCTGACATTCTGCTCCTGTCCATATTTTCCTTTTAGCAATTTGTATTCTGTAGCAGATTATACTTCACAGATGCTCCCATGTAGCCTCGATTGAAAGTATGTTAGCTTGTATTTAGACTTTTTGAACATTCTGCGTGAAATATGTAGAAAAATCGGTTCCTTTTGAACACTTTTTTCCCGCATCGAAATGATACATTATTATCGCCTTCGTCTCTTCTTCCATAAATAGATAGGTGAAGTAAATACTATACCATGACATGATATGGATGTAACAATACACCAACAATACGACACCACCAACAAAAACAACCTGTAGTTATAGCTACACAGGGACCTGAGGATTTGTTATTTTACCTAAACTGCAGTGTTTAGGGTAAGTTTACACGGTTTATGTGTATAAATCAATGTTTGTTAAAATTGCAATTCCCGATGATGTTATAATTGTGGCATTTTACCGAAACTTCATCTAATGTGTGAAATTACTCTGAACACCTCAGTTTAGGCTCAAAGCGAGCATGCAATGCATTAGTAAATCAGATTGTAAAGTCACTACGATTTAGAACGGTGAATACTTTTGTAGAATTACAATGTTTTAGATGAATGATCATCCGCTTGTGGTTGGCAGGAGTCGACTATAAGATATCGAAGTCTTCCATAATTATAGCACGGTTCACTAGGTACCTCCGCGCTTTGTTTTGATGTGAGGAGATGTGTCTTCACAAGTGAGTGCCTCATTTGGCGAACGTTTACCCGTGGGATTTTATCATGTTCTCCTTTTCTTTTGGTATCTCCTTGGTTCCTGTTGTTATATATTTTTCAGTTCGGATTTTTCATATTTTACCTTTCTCTACAACTGCAGTACCATTCTGAACACCTTGCCCCGATTCCAGTTCATTCCAACGTAGATGACCGTATCGGTCGAGAAGTTCCGAGTGCTGCAGTACAGGAATCAAATTTGTCATTGAACACATTGAAAATAATGAAATTAGGACTCTCAAATGATTTGATAGGTAGACAACTCTTTAAGTCGTTTCCTGCCATCTTCAGTGCTGACCCTGTCCTTGTAGGATAACTTATTGTATATTTACAATGTTATAAACAACTTATTTATACACATAAATAGCGAGTTTAAATTTGAAATAAAAACATTAAGATTAACATACTTTGTAAACTTTTTTTATTGTATTTGTAGAGAAAACGTCTTCATAGTATAAATAATAGAAAGAAAATAATAATAATGATAACAAAAGTACAATGTTATTAATGAAAGCATCTGACATGAACTATTCGAGTTATCAAGCTGAACTGTTCAGTTGAACACACACATGTAATTCATTAGGACTCGGACCTTTTTTCTTCCTGGTGAAGTATTGTTTGATCCCTTTAACCCAGCTTTTTTTTTCAGTTACACATTTTATAGATGTGAATCATATACAGTAAGTCCAAAAAATATTGTTTTGTTTCCTCATAACTACTACAGGAACTCTGGAGACCCATAGACATTATATCAAAGCACTGTATATAATATTTACACTTTTTTCTGAGTCGTCATATTCTTGTTTCATTTCAGACTTATTTGAAAACTAAATCTCGGAATTTTTTTTGATAAGTTGATGTAATTGCGGCATACACCACTCTATCAAAGACAATGTGAAGCCTTCTTCGCCGATCACAATAACATTGTATACGGGCTCGCTTAATATAATGATAAATATTTGTCAAATTATACAGAGCTGAGTAGTCAAATATTTCGATTTTGCATGAGAGGTAAGTTGTTTACTCATTGAAGGTAATGCATTTTTTATATAAATATAATCCCTGGGAATTCAACAATTAATCATTTTAAGGTTTAAATTTCACAAGACAGTATCGAATGAGGTAGCAAATAGAGTATGTCTTATTCACCGAATTTCAAATGGTTTCACCTGATTGGAACCTCGCCATGTATCGGATATATACACATGATCTTAAAGTAATTGTATAGATGATGCATGTAATCACCTTGACGCAGCATTCGATGAAAGTGTCGTTGTCTGCGTCAAATTTTTATGTTTGTATGTGAATTTAAAACTATTTGAGCGTACGATTACATAGGTAAAAGAAAAACAAGCAGTTTGGGAGATACATTCGTGAAGTCGGCACAGTTTGTTTTTAAACCAATTTAGAGTTGCATTAAACTATGTATATGTTTTATATCGTTTTTAAGAGTAAGTGAGTGCAATTTCATACAACAGTGTTTCTTCTTGCGTAGACAAATTGAATAAACCATATAGTGAGAAAAATGAAAAAGTAAAAATAGAATTGTCTAACAGCAACCTATTCTCTTAATCTTGCCATTGAATTGTTTTTAATAAACATTTTCGTTTATATAGATATTTATATACTTTTGTATTTATTTTAGATATATATTTCGGGGAAACATTATGCATACACATAACAAAAATATCACATAAAAAGACGTTACAGATAAACGGAACATGTAAAATGACGGGCTAAAAATGCCTGGCACCAAATGGTTTGCGATCGTAGAATGATTATAAACAATAAAAATGATGATGACAATGATGTTTACAAAGCATGATTTCTAAGTTGCCGTTCATTGTCAATTGTTATTTATATTTTATTGCTGTTCAAATGATGCAAATATAGACATCTTTATTAGTCAAAAAATATTAGTTGCTTATGTATAGTTATTAGTTTTGTTTATTAAGCGTCCTTAATGTTGAAAACATTTGAATACATTTCTATTGTATACTTTATCCAAACCAAATTACGATGCTCCAACTTTCCCTAGCATGATTGATATATCTGTCGCAGCTAACAAAATCTGATTTCATCTTTAAAAAAAGGTATGTGCGCTTTAGAAAGGTTATTCGTATCATATTTTCAACATAATTATTTCTAAATGATAAAAGTACATAAAACAATGAAAACAATTTTAGACATGTTTAGAACTGGTCCAATTCTTAGGAAAGACAGATGTGCAAGATTTTGAATTATTAGCAATCTAATAGTAAACCCCTTTTGGTCATTTACACTGGGTTTTGATACCTGATTATAAGTGTTTAATTTGAAGAACATATAACACATATGTCGAGCAGAACCAACCTCTTGCATGTCATAAAAAACGTCTCATCTGAGTAAAAGAAACTCGTACGACATTGCACTGAATGATACTGAAGAGAGTTTTTGTTCAAATTATTATTTGCAATTGCATATTCAACATTCCAGGTGTATTTGAAACGGATCTGCTTACTTTCTTCAAAAAAAATAAGACACCAACATTTCTGTAATTCTACTGACAAAATGTCCTGAAATGTAAATTGCACAGATTTTGAAAATCGATTCACATATAAGGTCAATACACGGTCGCATTGTCATCAATCATTCCGATGAAGTAATCTGCAGTCTATGAGATCCTGGCAAAAGCTAGTCTTTATTCACATCTTGTGAATATGTATTGGATTGAGATCATTGATAATTGTCTAAAATGGTTTCTTCACGAGCATTGCGTCAAAATAATTTGTTCCTTCCAATGACCTCACTTGGAAATTGATAAAACCGTATTTAGCAAAAAGATTCTGGTATTCCGTGGATGTTCGTTCCTGGCCCTTCGACATGAGAGTCATAAGGAGGTCATTGGTGATAGCCAGTTCTGGTCCATCTCTTTGTTCACTAAGCACTTTCTCGAGAACAAGCATACTGCCACCTGAAATTTTTCGTAAAGCAAGAACTGAATAAAATAGAAAGAAATCAACATGCAGTGACATAACTGAGTCATGAATGAAATACTGGAGTTGTGCAAACAACTTAGAAGGAGTCAATGGGCCTGGTACTTGAATCAATATTTCGTTGGTCTGGTAAAAGATGTATTATAGATGATGTCTTTAATTTGCAGATACATAACTAAATTGAATTCTCAATCTGCGACTGAATTAAAAACTGTCACCAGGAACACGTCCTTTGCCTATCGTTTGTTTTAAATTCATAACTGCAATAGCCTATTTGAACAACATAAAGAGAATCTGTCTAACCTGCCGGCAGACTGGCGTACACTTTGGTGAGTATTTGGTCGAGAGATTGCGAGTTCCACATATGGACGATGTGACTCAGGATAAATAGGTCCCCGGACGGGATGTTATCTTCTAGAAAATTTCCTGAAATTAAACAAAATCAAAATAATGATTACGAATAAATATTCATTTCTCACATTAAATTGTATACAAAAAAAACAAACACAATATTTCCAAGAGAAATAGTTATTACATACAGATTTATATTATATATTGCATGCTTAGATATTCCTAGTCAAAGTACAGTCAGCCCCATCTAATTAACACAAACTGTTCCTTTTAGTTCTTTGATTCTTTGAAATAAATTGAAATGACCAAGTTTATTCATTCTGATAACTGCAACATCAACGAACATGAAAACAATGACACTTTGTATTGTTTTGATGCTCAGCACAACAGCCTGGACTAAGAAATTTCGGTCAGACATAATTCACATGTATTTGCAACGTACCAGACTTGAAGGAGACCCTGTCTTTTGTACTGGCCGGCTGTAACTTTTCCGCCATTTGTGAGACTTGTGGGAGATCGAACACAGTTATTTCCATATTAGGATACTCTCGCGATAACTCAAACGAGATCTGTCCTGACCCACCTAAAATAAAGAAAAATTACATTAATATTCGTGTTTTTTAAATCTGATTTCACCAAAATAGGTTGATCGAGAAATGGGAAAACCAACATTGCAGACTAAAGTGAAATGAAATATAACATCATTTCCTAGAAATAAAGATTATCATTATAAACATATATTAACATGTATATATATATAATAAAACTGGAACGAAACAGCAAGTGTATGATTAAAGATAACTGTCTTTAGGAAACTTATCAAGCAAAAGTACAATCTAGGTGGTTTTGAAAACAGATGGTTTCTAAAAAGGCCTCACTGAACTATGATGTAAATTGTAAATTAGCATAAAAACGTGTGTATTTTTTAAATACAATTATTAAAAAATTGTCTTCCCAATTGGTTAAACTTGGTATGTTTTTGTCATTAGACAGTTATCAACGCAAACCAATTGTTTTGTCCACGCTGTGTGAATACAGGGTAAACACGTGCCTTTTGTCTGTGTATACATTTGGGTACAAACAATACTGGTGTGTACCTTCAGTATCAAGTTAACACGTGTTTTTATCAGTGGTTTTGTCACCCTTAATCTCCAGACATCTTATGTTCACCTTCTGACGTCAATGCTGTCAGGTGATTGCTAATTTTACTTCAAAATACTGTCATCATTGACCGATGTTGTCAGCGGATCACCTAGATTTGTATTGAATGCTATATCACGCCCATCACGAGTGTCCATATTTTCCAGATTTGTCATCATAATATTTTGAAATGTGTCCCATCGCTAGGTCAAAAGCTAGGATGGCTACACGCATTCTAGCCGTGTTTTAAGCGTAACATTCCTTTGATTGTTTTTGTTACACAAGCACAACACCTTTGTCCCTGACCTATTTTAGAATATTTTACTTTTCCCTTTGCTCCACCTGAATAGTATACTTTTTATTTACTTCATCAAAATACATTCTTTCCCTTTTACTTCAGCAGATTACTATCTTTTCCTTTATTACACCAGAATCTGCTATCTTTTCTGTTTATTTCACGAGAATATTATGCTTTTCCTTTCATCATAACGTCTTTTCCCTTTATTTCACAGATAATTTAATAATTTTCGAATACATATTAAAAACCATGATAAATGAAAACATATTGCGTTACATTGATGTTAACTCTATTTAAAAGTCCATAATAAACTAAACAAACCTCCGAGATCCACAGCCTCTCTATGTGTACTCAGATCAAAGGCTCGTGCGAGGACGTTCGAGCATGGCCCTGAGAATCCGTCATACGCGCTCATCATCTTCACGTGCATCATGCCTGCCATGGCATTGCCATCCATCAATGGCTTGTTTTTCATGTCCATTCCTGAGGGCATCATTCCTGCTGGCATTTTGGGCATCATAGCAGGCATAACAGGCAAATTTGGTTTCATGGAAGGGTTCGGCATCATGTTGTTCATTTTCGGTAATGTCTTATCTGACATTTGCGGCTTCGTGTTATTTTCTATCAACTGCGGCTTATTACTGCCTTTTGATGGAACTTTAGGCATTTCCGGCGGTAGGTTACCATTGCCGGTTTCTATGTTGTTCTTGTTCATGTCAAGGTTAGGTTGACCTGATGATGAGAGACAATAACACATATTAAAATGTATTCAACAATGTCTTATGAATTTATCATGCAATCAGCCTGTTCAAATTTTCATTGAAAGAATTTAATTCATTGCTTTTTAACTTGTATTTATGAACATAAATCCCTGAATTTTTGCGAGCATTACCGTTTGCGAGAATGCCTCAAATGCAGGTGAAAAACAATATTGGGCATATATTCGGAAGAATAATGATTTAACGGACAGATTTAAGTCTTGTTTTAAGGACGTGATATTACTTTAATTTGGCCTAGATTTAAATTGCGGTTGTCGTCGATGAAGCAGAAGACGCGTACCTTTCCGAAACACCTGGTCTTAGTGAAACAAGTGATTCAAACTGATTAAACTTAGATTGTTTTTTATCTTTTAAATGAATTAAATGAATCTTACCTGCTTTAAGAAAAGTCGGAAACATGTCAAGCATGGGTAGAATGAAGCTACTTTCCATCATTGAAAGTCCAATCATTGTCGGCTTGCGTGATCGTGTCAAGTACTTTGAGGTTCCAAGACAATTCTTATATACGGATTGGCCTGAAATGTAAAAGCAGTGGTACCTTTTCAGAATTCTTAGTTTGAATACTTGAGATAATATAATTAACAGGAAAACGAAGCACGGGAGCACCTATTTAAAGGTAGTTTATTTTTATTTATTTTTTATGTTTGCTGATTGAGAAAGAAATCAAAGAAAATATTTTACTTCAACATATGTCCGTTTCGTCCATATAGGACTCATCAGTCGAACAAAAGTATAAAATAATATATTTGAAAAACACACGTCTAAAGGGTTCCGGACCATACGATTGTTACAGAAAAAAGGGGAATTGTGCCTATCAACCTTACAATGGGTTGAAGTTTACAACCCAGTATTATGATGTTGCATACCCTATGTAATCTCCATTGCAATACATACAGAGAACCACAGATAGATAGCATAAAACATAAAATGAAAACTCGTCTGGGTATGTGTTTAGGTCTGTTAGTGTGGTGGAATGAGTTGGTATGTGTTCTTTCGATAAGTTAGTAGAAAAAGGATTCATTCATTTCCAAAACCGAACCGAAATCTACATTACTAAACAATCCCCCCTGCAGACTGTGTAAAACATATACGTGTGTATGGTAATTTAGTCTAAATATCACCAGTTGTTGGACACGCAGTTGGCAGCTGTCTTTTTAAAGTTGATCCTAAACAAAGATAACGATCTCTTCGCCTGACCAGAACGTGATTACGGTGCGGATGAACTTTGCTACCATACAATGCGTCAGTGACATAGTGTTCGTCTGAACCGTCTGATCCTCCATTGTCTGGGTCAAGTCTACCCCATTTAGTTTGAACGACCTGCAGACACTGGTGTCGTATTTTTTATCACCGAAGTCTGGGTCAGTTCATCACTTATGGTACACTTGTGCATCTGTGTATCGGTCCAGTTCTAACTATCTCTTCACGATATTAAGAAACGGTATTGACCTATTGTTAATACCGGTTCGTGTATGTCTGAAGCCTAGGTCATTTTTCTTTAATACCACACGTGATGATGCATGTCCCCCTTGTAGTAATGATTAACAAAAACGTACCATTGTACTAGAACGCTCTTATAATGATATATTTTATTGTTTACAGTCCCACCACACCATTTAGCCTATAACATACATAGAGGTTTGGTTTGGTTTTATTTTGGTTCACGTCTATTTAACAGGTCAACGGATATTTAACGGTCTCCCGGTGAGTACCGTTGCAGCCGTCTATGGCAGAATACTGATCTGTTTATTCTTCCTTACGAGTGAAATATTAATGTTAATCAACCAGGATAACATAAAATGTTCTTTTTGTTATGTTTTCAATCTAGTTACAAATACAAACTTGTTACTGCATCAAAACTGTTGGGGATTTAATAGCGTAAACTTTAGTGCCATATTCTAAAAACCTCTTCCTTGACAACAAGTTTTGGATTGACAACTGAACGCAATCATACTAATTTTTGACTAATATCTGGTAATACATGTATTTACTTGCAAGTGCTTCCGACTATGTCGTCAGATAAATATCTATGTTATATTTAACCGTCGCTTCATCTACTTAGATAACCTGAAGCTTATATATTAATATATATATAACTAGAATTCCTTTTACAATGCAAGTATTTACAAAACTAATCCAAATAACAGAAATACAATATATCATTAACCTTTTTCATATTCATTTACAGCGCACTGACCAGCTACGTTATGATATGTATCGGCGGCAAAACAAAAGGCCTAGTGTGATGATGTTTGGCCAGGTACCTGCTAGGAGGAAGAGCTGTAAAGTTCAAATGAATGACCTTCAACAGTATTCAAGGTCACATGGGTCAAATATGTAAAAATAATAGCAAGAATTAATAAGAAAAACAATTCAACCCTAATGCATCTCATCTAATTATATTAACTAGGAAGGATATAACGGACTTTCAGTTATCTACCTGTAAGTTTTAATCACTTTGTATCGCGAGGGCCTGGGTTAAGATACTATTCCCTGTGCCAATAGTAACATTGTATCGTTCTCACACGGAAGTTTTAAAGAAATCGTTCAGTTATCAATCTTAAACCTCACCGTCTATCAACTTCAAGTACCTCGTTACCCCGAAGGTGCTAGCTGTAAAATATACCAACTGCTCGAAATCATGTGTAGTGAGACTGGGCTGGATGACTGCCAGTGACCTTGCTCAAAGGTTGTTTAGTTTAACCTGTGGTTTGTAAAAGTATTAAAATTGTTGCCAATAGAAACAAGAGCTTTAAAAGCTAAACGAATCCTTTACAGAAATATATGTGATCAGTCAGTGCAGAGAAATGATATCAGATGTTCTTGATTGTCTTGTATTCATATTTAAAACCACTTGTTTACTCTAACCAGACTTTATGCAACCAGGGCCAGGTAGCTGTAGTGATTAGAGCGTTGACCGAGTTCGGAGGTCCCTGGTTCGATCCCGGTCTGAGCTCGTTGCAGCTGACCTGTCCTTTTTACACATTAATCTATCAACTAAAAGACATAGCAGGCTATATCGGCTTTCGGGGTTTTTTTCGAAATGGACTCGGCTTGGAACATGTACCGAGTAGCCTGGATTAACCTTGTGACATTCTAAATCCGGTCAAAGTTAGTTCAAACAGTCAGGTCGCGGTGTGTTTTCGAATCCGTCTGCACTTATCAGCTATGATTGTCATGTTTGGGTGTATTCACATGAGAGGTATTTCTCCAGGTATTTACAAAACATTTGTAATATGTTAAACAGGAACTCTGAATGATTCAATTTGCCGGAGTACTATATTATATTTGGGTTCGTGTTTTCTTAATCTAGGCGTCACTGTATCATTCTGGGGAATCATTGATTTATATATCCTCTAAAAAGGTCAAACACTACTATTATATAATTATAGATAATATGGGTTCATTAAACGCAGACAATGCTGGCTGATGTTCTACATTTTCCCCACTATAAACTAGATAGCAGTAGTATATGGCTGACATATGAGATCTATGACCTAACTACAGCTGTCCTGTGAAGGTCGGCGGCGGCTGGAAATGTGGAAAGTGCAAGCATCTTCAACCCGACCTTGTTTACTATGAGATATATAGCGTTGTCAAACCCGTGTTTGGGTCAGTCATGCGTAGTGTTTATACCAAGTACCCGTCCATTATGATGGAAATTATTGTCACGGGAGGTATACCCTGAAGGCATTTTAAGTGTGTTAATAAAAGTGTTTACGAGAAGCATAACAACAACATAAAACCAAGGTAAAGTAGGCCATTCATAAAATCATTCGACGGTTGACGTCCTACAGTTGTCCACTTGCATATTATGCACAGACAGATGGGATATGAATGAAAGACGCAATCATAACAAATCTGCTACGTCAGTATTACAAAACCGCGTGTATTCGATTAATGGCAAATTTCATAACACAAAGAAAGAAATTTTATCTGAGGCATTTATATGATACTTATAAACACATCAAAATTCTTGTTTGGCAATATAATATATTTTTTGATACATTCCATAAAAAGGCTCGTTTTAAATGTAAACATTTATTTGATATCTTGTTGATTTAAAGCCAAAACTAATTGTGATTGATGTGACTTTAGTAAAAACATTTGATTTAAAGTATTTCAAACGAGGAATGATGGTGAATTGATACAGGAAAATTCCTTTCCTTCAAAACCATACTTTAAGCATTTTGGTGTCGATTAAATTTTGATAACGGTTGTTTATCTTTCATGGTAGACTTATGACTACCATTTAAAATATCAAGGAAGGAGGCATGAAGAAAAACGTTCCATTTTCTAAATGTAAGTATTTTTCCGACTTTAAAACAAAATAGATGTCGACCAGGATATCATATTTTATTCCAACAAAGTAAGGCGATACTTTTTAAATATTGCCACAAAATATCTCAATAATACAACAAGACATGTATGAACAACCGACAACATAAAATACCGTACCGGTTTGTCAACATTTCTTTATTTTTTTCTAACCAAACCATTGTGATTTATCATGTCTAAGGTATCAATTAGCCAGAAACTCCAGATTCTGACATGTTGATAGATGTAATTAAAAATAAACATGTCAGCGATATCGCCACAAACCGCAAAGGTGTGTCAATTTAAACATAAGCATAGTTTCTGTACATTTGCATTTATTGAAAGAGAATATAATCTGACTCTTTTACTGGAAAAATAGTTTTTACTATAGACACAAATGTGTAACCTTACCAATTTCGCCGTAAAGCTATGGGTTAGTACATCTATCGAACTGTAGTTACATGTAAGTATTAATGTGTTGGCATTTGCCTTTGTTAAAGCAAATAAACAATGTAAGTAAGAAGCGTGAAGACGGGGAACATTAACGATCTACCATTAAACAAATAAAAAAAACGTGTTATATTTTATCAGCAGGATTGTTCTTGCTGTTAGTTTATCTTCTATAACAATAAAGCTGCCCTTACCTTTGTTGTTCGTATTCTTTTCCAGGAGTTTGAAGCTAACCAATGTATCCAGGAGTTTTACAGTGATTTTTGGCTCATAATTATTCTTCTTAGCAAAGACTTCAGCTGTGCACGGTTCGCCATGAGATTCCAGGTTGTCAAACACTCCAGCTTCGATGCATTGCTGCATTATCTGTAAGGTAGGTATGAAATAACAAATAAAACCCCATCCAACATAGGCGAGGTGTCGTTACAACAATCGTTGTCAATTTAATAGTTCATGTTGTACGGTGTACAAAAAAACACCTAATAAGGCTGCATTTGAATAATAGATGATTGTCGAATGATACAAATTGTATACAAAGCTATTAGGATACTATCTTTATTTACGTGTGATATACAGTATTTATTTAAGCAATATCTCCATATCGAGTAAAGAGTTGTAGCGTATGTACATTGTACCAAAGGAAAACAAACATTATTTTTTTTATATACAGATCTTAAATATGTACAAAGATCAATAGATTTGACTGGACGTAACCTTCTGGTTATTATTACGCGTGAATTCTGTGTTAATCGTGAGGTTTGATACATTCATATCTCTACCGTTTACCTAGCACCTGTAATCATGATTCAGGGATACATGTACTTTGTATAGCAGTGTGCAGAGATTAAAGGCACGTTGGTACTTAAACATATTGAACATTTGCACTTCAGGCACTGTATTCTTCAAAAAATTTAAAGTACATCTCTAGATTACTCATTACGGAATTAAAAACACAAGCAATATGTCTTATATCATTTAATATTTCTGCTTGATTGGGAATGTGGATCTTTAATATAACGACCGGCCAAATTAGTGTTAACTGAATCACTTAATATACCGATTATAGGTAAATCCCTGTTAATTCAGTTTTTTAGTTTAGATTATATGACAATAACATAGCATTGTTAATAATTTACTTGCTTTTAAATAATGGTTATAAGGCCTTGTCTTAATGTCACATAGATTGATTTATTTGAATGAAAACACTGTAGTATACTAAGTAAGATAACATATATGATGTAAACATACCTTGTAACGTGTTGCACCGGCGATGATTTCGACGATGACATTCGCTGACTGATCCGACTGCAGCATGTCGCTATTATAACAAGGTGAATCCATGATGTGATTTTCAAAAAAACCTTTTAGAATTGAGTCAAAAATGTATGTTCAGATGTTTCTCCGGCTGTGGTTAGGTTCTGTAGCGCCGGTAACCGTCTGACAGCTGATTGCCAGCTGATCGGTCTTTTTATATTACTACTAGCCGAAAGTAGGTCGTCGTCGAGAAACGCGTACCGCTTCACCCATATATCAGCCAATCCGCGAGCAGTATACATTCATTCACAGACGAGATTTCATTGTTTGATTTAATATATGTATGTCTCATTTACATATTTTTGCGGTTATCCACGTGAATATTTTACTCATATGTCTATAGAGTCGCACGCGTTCCAGGAGAAATGTCAGTCAGTTACAAGTGACGTACATAAAGGTAATATATACGCTCCCACATACGTCGGACACCGCCTCCTCAAGGGCCGACCAAAAATCCGGTCATTGTTCATTAGCAGACATATTGGTAAGCCGGCTAGTCAAGGCCAAATCCATTTGTGTATATTCTAAGTTAGCTTTAAATAGACAAAGCTGACCAGTGAAAAATCTACACCAGCTGATAGTGTGACGGTAAACAGTATATGTGTTCACTATAGAAGTATCTAGGGAGTACATACACAGTAACCTGTATACAAACATAACTCGATCATTGATTGCGTATCGTCGTGTGTACAGCGCTATTTGTGGTATGTCTGGATTGATCGATATAACAGATATTTCAATAATTGTTGATAATATTTAAAAAAAAAAAAAAGTCATAAATTATCTGTACACTGAAAAATGTAATCAAATGTTAAATCATTCAGCATAACTCTACATGTGGTTAATTGTATATGAATTAAGGTACTTTATTCACAATAGCTTATGGTTTATGCAAATTTCATCTGAAAAACTCAAAAGGAAGTTGAGACAAGTTACAACTACTTAGCAATGTATTTTCCCATAAAAAGTTTGTTCACATAACGAGACTACTCGTATAATAAATAAATCCCTTTCATTCACGTTCTTTCTGGTTGTGAAAATAAATAAATAATTAAATAAAAATAAAAAAGAAGTGTTCATACGAACTCGTTTTTTACTGTGAGTTGCTTATTTTGTTTGTTTATTGCCAGTATTTGACGGGAAGAAATAGTGTTGCTTATCATAACAAATGTTGTAAGGGAAGACATGGTGGCATCATACACAAATGTTATAAGGGTAGGTATGGTAGCACGATACAAAAATATTATGAGGGTAGGTATGGTAGCATGATACAAAAGAATTTATAAAGGTAGGTATGAGAACACGATATAACATATATTATAACGGTAGGTACATGATTGATTACGTTATATATAACGCATGTTATAAGGAAAGGGGTAGTAACAATGTAAATAAAATAACCTATAAATTCACTTACAGTGTTGTTCTGTGATTTTTAACTTTATCTTTAAAATAAAGTTACAATTAACCTGGTGATCTACTTCGTCTATGATTAAAGAAAAAAATCTAAAACACAATTACACTTACACGCGGCTCTAACACCTATCAGATGTTACGGAGCAAGGTCTGTAACGTGACCATCAGGTGATGAGCTGTGAAGATATTTATAGACACATGAAAGTGTCCGAAAAACATACTGTAAGTAACGCAGGTTTACATGATGATAACCTGATCATACGTGATTGAACCTGGAGCGAGAATAAGATTTCTGGATCCAAGGCTTATTTTCAAGTCCGGCCTGTTATCAAATCGAGATTTTAGTGTATAACATATATTATAAGAACAAGTATGATAAGGATATAAATAATTCACAATAGCATAATATAGGTATAACAGCAGGATATAGCAACTGGTATAAGGGTAGATTTGGTAGGTGAAATGATCTTACACGGGATTATCCGTTATGAGGATATATTTTGCAATATGAAATGCCACATGTTAAAAGAGAAGAGACTGGTTTGGTAACAATATATTACACATCATACACGGGTTGGTATGGCAATATGATGTAATTCATAACACATATTATAAGTATTGGCATGGTAAAATTATATATACTAGTAGATTACATATAAAAAGGGTTGGTATGGTAACATGAAATATCCTTTGTTATAAGGGTTGGCATAGTAACATTTCATAACATGTTATACCGAATTGGTAGAGTATCATGCTAAAACGCATCTTATAAGGGGTTTTATTACGTCATGATAATAATGATATAACGCTTTTTATGAGGATCTGTATGGTTACATTATGCATCACATGTTAAAAGGGTTGATGTGATATTTAACAGTTTTACTTTTGGAGAGACTATAATCTATTTAAACAAATATTTACATTTCCACTTCACAGAACCTAGATGTTTCTACCGGGCCCAACGTTGGTGATTGCACTGCTCCGCTGTCAACTGGTCGCTGTTCTCTGTATGGATTTACCCTGACGTTGAAACATGTTCAGACTAATATTATGTCTTTATTTCTGCGTGAACTGTAAGTCGATTAAAATAAAATGTAAATATAAGTATTGGTTGTCGTATTTTTGACATGCATTGGTGAGTAACATACATTGGCTGACCTACACATTTTACATGGTGCGCTATCGCGCACCATTTACTATGGAGGTAAGCTAATGTATGTTACACACCAATGCATGTCAAAAATATGACAACCAATCCTTCAATAAATTTTTATTTGACAACAGAACACTGGTCAGAAACAACATGTAGCTAAGAAAATGGTTACCTTTTCGATCACCTAATTTCACCTTGTTTCATCCGTAATGACTCAGAGCTAAAATTTAAGTTGATGTTGTCCAAAAATATTTAACGGAATTTGAGAATAATAAAAAGATGGCGCCTATTAGACACGCCATATGTTGTCTATAATAGTAAAAGCATTTAGTTCGTTGTCCGGTATGTTGTGTCATTGTTATTAGCAATCTGTAGAGTGATATCTTATATGTAAGAATCATAATTCTAATGACGATCCTACACATAACTGTAAATATAAAAAATGTCTTCAAAATAAAAAAAGACTGAGTAATGTTAAATTAACAGTATGTGTTTGTTTTATTGACGCAGCAACTACATCTCTTGACATTATGTATCTCAATGACCACTAATAAGCTTTAATTTTGATAATTAAATCCCTGAAATACGAGCCTTAATTGCATATGTAATTCAACGACCAGTATTCAACAGGAATCCTATATTAGGGTACACTTATAAAAATAAATATTACATTTACCTATTCTCAAATTTGCTTTATTCACTATTGAATGTTAACATATGTAAATAACCCACCATAATGATTTAAGATAGTGCTGTGACTTGTACAGTAATATACATATACAGCAATGTAATACACCTTCATATAATATAACAGCGTCGTTTGGTTAATGGTAACAATGTTAGTTTCTACATAATTTTAACTTAGTTCTTACAATTTCAATATATTTTTATGTATAAACAGCAGTTTGGCAATGGCTAAAGCTTCCCTAAATTAGCAGTGCCCTCTGCAAATTACATGAGATGATAATATAAATATACGCAATGTTATTTGTTCCAGAGATTACCTATAAAGTTTAAACTTGTAATAAACAAAGAAAACAATGAAGAGAAGATGTTTTGGAAGGTACTGTTTATGATTGTAACAATTGAATAGTCAAAACAGAGATGAACACAGCATTTCATACATTCTGTAACAGTTGGTCACCTCACGCCAGGTAGCCAATGCGTTTAGTCTTGTTCTATTCGTATCTCCTTCTTCGTCCTGTTCCAGTAAGACCTGGCATGCTTTGGTTCTTGCCTTATCTACATTTACATAATATGCATACGTGTTAACGTTAAAATGATTATTTTCATAATTTCTCTCATAATTTCAAATGATTAAAATTCCGTTAAGATGGTTAATTCTATTTTATTATTGTTTGATTGTTTCTAGATATAATCTTGAAACATCTACATTTGCGGTTCACTCCTTTAACTCTCAATGTAAACAGAAATTTCTCGCGAACTGGGTAGTTAACGGAATACACATTTTCAAAATACATATAACCTATTGTTTTAACTGACCTGATGACACACGTAAATATAATACACTGGTGAATATAAGCCTTAAATAGACTCAACCGACCCACGTACACATATACTGAACTAATTCAACCTAAAATAGACATAGTCCGCATCAATATATGTTTAGAAAACAGTTTTACTTTACTTTGACGAAGTAAACTGTATAATCTTAACAGAAAAAGTACTGACTCATCAACACAAAACAATATAGTTATACACACAATTGGGTCATGAATTCGGTATTTATAGTTGTTTTATTATTCTTTCCTAATATAGACCGACTGTCGGGGTCATGTATCTAATTGCGATATAACAATTTTATTGAAAATTACAAATCATAATCACAATTTACAAACAAAGGGATACATTATTGACCAATACAAGTACCGGCGTCGGATACATGGCGATAGGAGCTCGTTTTATAGTAGCTTTTTGTGCTAAAACCCGATTTTTAGATTGACATACTATTTGTGTTGGTCATTCTGTGTATTTGTTTTCTGAAATACAGATGTGAGAGTGCGCGGAAAAGATGTTTACATTTTTAACGTTACCGATGCATGCTTTCCCTGCATGTCTAGTATTTGTAGCGTTCAGAGCTGGTCATGTTCGAAATGTCAAGGTCATCGACTCACATGGAATGCAGTAGAGATAGTTGAAGTTAGATTGTTGTTCCCAAACACCTGATCTAATGTAGGCTCCTTTATCTTCTGCGTTCGTTTATAGAGAAATTGATCGGTTGACATCAATGTTCGTTATGGCTGCACTCTTTATCATTCGCTCCTCAGTTACCATCAAAACAGAATGACGAACTTAAGACGGAGGCAGGGTGGCCACAGTTTGCTTCAATCATGATGAGAGCCGCATTCATTTTTGCATAAACGAGTGATTTCATTACCATGCGAATTGATAGATGTTGACCGCATTACTCGTTTTATTTATCAATGTCAATCGTAAATGCAAAGAACTTTCAACAAGTCTGAATTGGTGTTTCGTTTTATTCATGCATGCGTTGTAAATCAAAAGCATTAAAAATGTATATATAATTAATTTTATATACTTTTTTTCAATTAAATAG